ACAGAAGCAAAGCCCAAACCAAACCCACTGTTGTCCAATCAATTCCAACTCACAGCGCCCCTACAAGACAGAGTAGAACTGCTCCCTAGGGTTTCTAAGGCCAGGAGCTCTGGTGGCGTAGTGCCTAAGGCATTTGACTGCTAACCAGAAGGTTAGCGGTTGAAACCCACCAGCCACTCCTCAGAAGGAAGACTGGGGAATCTACTTCCCTAAAGACTTATCCCCTGGGGAACCCAAAGGGGGTTGCTATGAGTTGGAATCCACTGGACGGCAGTGAGTTGGGTTTGTTTTTGAATCTTTAAGGAAGCCAACTGCTGAACACTTTCTCTTGCAGAGCAGCTGAACCGCCCACCTTTTGGCTGACACTGTGTCCTGGATCTTTTTCCCCAGAAAACCCTACGGGGTTGCTTCCAACCACCAACCTTTGGGTTAGCAGCATTCGTGCCACCAGGGCTCATTTTAGACAACGTTGCTGGATTCAAACCCAGCCAATCTAGCCCTCTGTTTTTAACCACTGCCCTGCAGTGCCTCCTGCCGGCGGAGAAAACAAATGCATGCAGGGTACCCATTTCCCAAAGCGTGAAAAACTGAGCCCTGGGGAGCGAGGCAAGGCGATGCCAGCCCCCAGTGACCCCTTCCTCTGCCTCCCGTGTGCCCGCAGGTGAAGCTGGTGTTCGTGGAGGACCAGGCTGTGGTGGAGACCGTGTTCTTCCTGACGTCGCGCACCAGGGCGCTGCTGCGGCGCTTCCCGCGCATGCTCCTGGTCGACCGGCTGCCGGCGCTGCAGGGCGCGCTCGATCTGCTGGCTGTGCTGTGCGTGGACGGCTCGGGGCGCGCGCGCCAGGCCGCCTGCTGCGTAGCGCGCCCGGGCACGCCGAGCCTGCTGCGCTTTGCGCTCGCCTCGCTGCTGCAAAGTGCGCCTGACGTCAAGGACCGCGTGCGCTGCCTGACGGCGGGGCCGGAAGTGGCGGCACAGCTTCCGGCCGTGCGCCAGCTGCTTCCGGGCGCGCGCGTGCAGATCTGCCGCGCGCAGGGCCTCGAGACGCTCTTCAGCAAGGCTCAGGAGCTGGGCGGCGCGGGCCGCGAGGACCCAGGCCTGTGGTCGCGCCTGTGCCGCCTGGCCGGCGCCGCCTCTCCGTCTGCCTACGCCGAGGCGCTGGCCGAGCTGCGCGCGCACGGCCCCGCCGCCTTTGTCGACTACTTCGAGCGCAGCTGGGCGCCGCGCCGCGACATGTGGGTCCGCTTCCGCGCCTTCGAGGCGGCCCGCGACCTGGACGCATGCGCTCTGG